GGCATAATTTGTAACTCTAAACATAGAAGTTTTACAGCCCGGAGGTCGACTGACCTCAATCTAATATATAAGCAAATGAAAAGGGGAAAGCAACATCAATATTCCCCAGCCAAACAACTGACCAATAAAACTTGCCTAACTTTTAATATCATTACAGAAATAAGAAGCAAACTAACAGACAACTATCCAACCTATCATTATCCTACAAGAAACAGTCTTCCCTCCACAGCGGCCAGCTAAAGCAGCAATAAAGAGCTGAGAACTTTAGTAGCAAAACCCCACTTCTGAGATGCTCCAACAAGTTAAAATGGGCAGTTGAGTCCAAGCTGAACCAATAGATTACCATTGAACCTTGGCAGGACCTAGCAATCCATCAGTATAGCCTAGATACATCTTGTAAATTCATTCCAATCCTTTAGTGCAGCTTTTATCACTTCAGTTTCGGGCATTATAGAGTTCTTGAATTTCCAGAGGTTCCGAGATTACCACAACCACCAAAGAATGTAAGGTGTGAGGTGAATTGTATGTTGGGAGGTTGTTGTTCTGTCTATAGAGCAAATCGTCCACCACCAGGTTCTAAAGCATTGAGATTCTTTATTAATTCCATCCCAGTTGACAGGAGCTAAGTGCCATACATTCTGGGCTCTTGGACAAAGTAGCAGAACATGTTCAACTGATTCCACTTCTTCACCACAACACTGACATACAGGATCAACTTCCATGCCTCGGTTTTTTAGATTGAGACTTGTGGGCAGTGTGTTAGTGTAGCATTTCCACAAGAAGTGTTTCATCTTATTTTTTATTTTCAATGTCCAGCTTCTTTTTCTTACTTTTTTATTTTTTTCAGCTGACATGCTGCTTTCAGGTATATCAAATGACAAAAGCTTCTTCTTGATGAGGTAAGAATAAGTGCTAGCCACTGTGAATAGTCCCTTTGAATCCATTGCCCACTTCCACCTGTCTTTCTGCAAAGGGTCTAGTGTCTTTATATCTTTAATGGCTCCGATGTCTTTGCCTTTGCTCCACCAAAAAGATGAGCACATGCGAGCAATCATGCTGCATACAGACTTAGGAAGGCAAAAGCATGACATAGAAAATACTGGCATGGCATCAAGAACAACTTCTATTAACACTTCTTTTCCAGCAGTTGAGAGAAAATTATTTTTCCAATTTATCAATTTTGATCTTACTGCCTTAATGACAAATTCAAAAACATCCTTCTTGGATCTTGAGTTATGCATTTGGATACCCATGAGCAGATTGCATATATTTTCTTTCAGATCAAAAGAGCAATTCTTGCTAAAAAAAGACTGAAGATTTATGAAGATTTACCTTTTGGCCTGTGAATTTTCTGTAGACATTCAGCAATTGTAGTAGAAGGGTAGCATGGTGATTATTAGCAACA